CGCCTGTTCTGCTCCCCACTCTGTCTCTGGTGAATCCTCTCACCCCTTCCACCTCCTCTCACTTCTGGCCTATACCCCAGCTGTTGTATGCACAAATAAATAAAATAAATATTGAATAACTAAATAAATAAAATTACCTAAGCACACAGACAGCGACTGACCTTAACATACCTAGGGCCTGGGGGTATTCTGGAGATCTCAGTAAACACAGCTGTTGGTTCTGATGGAGTTCAGGTGATGGGGTTCAGTGTGTGGGGTTCTCAGGTTCCTCTGAGAAGGAATCCAACAGATGTTCCCATTCATCAGCACACAGCCAGTTTATTGAGGAAAAGGAAAAAGAAAGAGATGCCTGCGTAGACACAGGAGGGCAGTCTTAAAGAATAACTGCTGGGGCCTCCCTGGTGGCACAAGGGGTTAAGCACCGAACTATGAAGCAATCCGCAGCCTCTGCAGCATGAGTTCGATCCCCTGCCAGCCAGGGAGCAACCCGCATGGTGCAGCAGACCTCTCCTGTCTCGCCCGCTGCTCCTCTCAGCAGTGTATTTCAGAAGATCTGCCTGTTCTGTTCCCTACTCTGTCTCTGGTGGGTCCTCTCACCCCGCCACACCTCTGGCCTGTACCCCAGCTCTTGTATGCATAAATAAATAAATCTTTAAAAAAAAAAAAAAGAATAAGAACTGCTTTTCCAGGGCAAGGCTGTACTTTCATAATGTTTTTTGATGGAATTATTGTGGAAAGTTTCCCTTTGGGGTCAAATTGGGTTGCTCTTCTAAGACCCATAATCCTCTCTGCCCCACCTCTGGCTGATAATTTTTTCTGATCCCACCTTAGATACCTGGAAACTTCCATAGCCAGGTTTAGTACAAGTTTCATTAATCACCCCTACCCCCACCTCTGGTGTCTGTCCTTGTGAGACCTTCCGTCCTAAACTTTTCTACTCTAAGATTCCATCAACCCCAGGAACATTCAGGGCGGCTCTGTTCATCAGAGCAGAAACCTGGAAACATCCAGTGGACAGGAAAAACGGGTTCAGAAGTGGTGGTGTGTCCTCCTGATAATGCACAGCTGCAGAAGCCGGTGGGGTCTGACTACCTGCACCTTAGGGAGGAACTCAGAAGTAAGGGAGAGTGAGAAATGCAAGTCATAGGAGATACAAGATAGGATCCCATTTTCTTTTTCTTTTTTTTTAAAGATTTATTTATTTAGTTTTTATGCAAGCACTGGGTACAGTCAGAAGCGCGGGAGGGTGAGAGAATTCACCAGAGCCAGAGCGGGGAGCAGAGCAGGCAGAAGGACCGAAGTACACTGCTGAGGGGAGCAGCGGGAGAGGTCTGCGCGCCATGTGGGACCCTCGCCCAGCGGCCAGGGATTGAACTGGCATTATGGAGGCTGCGGGCAGCTTCGCAACCCAGTGCTCAACCGCTGCACCGCAGGGGAGGCCCAGGATCCCATTTTCTGAAGCTCAGAAGCAAGTAAAACTGAAAAATACATTGTGTAGGGAGCCATACCAATGGTATAAAAAAAAAAAACTATGAAAAATATGATCTTGTGCTGGGCAGCCACATGCAAAAAATGAAATTAGACCACTGTCTCACACCATACATGAAAATCAGCTCCAAATAGATCAAAGACTTGAATGTAAGACCTGAACCTATGAAATACATAGAAGAAAACATAGGCAGAACATTCCATGACATAAGCTTCAGAAACATCCTTGAGGACTCATCCCTAGAAGCAAGGAAAACAAAGGAGATGATAAACAGCTGGGACGACATCAAAATAAAAAGCTTCTGTGCAACAAAAGAGACAGCAAGCAAAACAAAGAGATACTCTACTGCACGGGAGAAAATATTTGCACACCAGACAACTGATAAGGGACTGATATCAAAGATCTACAAAGAGCGCGCACAACTCAACAAGAGCAAAGCAAACAACCCAGTTAAGAAATGGGCAGAAGGGCCAAAAGCCAATTCTCCAAAGAAGACATGCAAATGGCCAACATGCACATGAAAAAATGTTCAACATCCCTTATAATCAGGGTGCTACCACATCACACCCCTGAGAATGGCCCATATTAAACAAACAAACAAACAGGGCCTCCCTGGTGGCTCAAAGGGCTAAGCACCGCACTATGAAGCAATACCCAGCCTCTGTAGCACGAGTTCTATCCCCGGCCAGCCAGAAAGAAAACCGCATGGCATGGAAGACCTCTCCTGGCTCACCCACTGCTCCCCTCAGCAGTGTATTTCAGTCAGTCTGCCTGTTCTGTTCCCTACTCAGTTTCTGATGTATCCTCTCAACCCCACATCTCTGGCCTGTACCCCAGCTGTTGTATGCATAAATAAATAAATCTTAAAAAAAAAACAAACCAGAAACACCAAGTGCTGGCGTGGATGTTGGGGGGTGGGGAAAGAGCCTCTTACACTGCTAGTGGGAATGCAAACTGGTCCAGCCACTATGGAAAGCTGTGTAGAGGACCCTCAAAACACCAAATGGAGCTACTCTGTGACCCAGCAATTACACTTCTAGGAATCTACCCAGACATAAAGAAATTAATTTGAAAGGAAGACTGCACTATGTTTATGCAATATACTCGCAATGGCCAAGATAGGAAACAATCCAAATGCCCCAAAGCAGATGACTGGACCCAGAAGATGGGGTCTGTATACACAATGGAATACTACTCAGCCATCAAAAAAGATAAACTCATGCCATTTGCAGCAACATGGATGGAGCTAGAAGGGAAATAATGCTCAGTGAAATTATGCTCAGTGAAATAAGTCATCTGAAAGATAAACATCAGATGGTGTCACTTATAGGTGGAATACAGAAAATGGATCAAAGGATCAGAAGAAGCTGACATAGACCTGAGGCACACAGCAGTGGAGAGGGAGGGAGAGAGGTCATAACGGGGGAGAGAAGAGCACAAGGGACCTTTGATGCATCATGGGTGCTATGGTGGTGGGAGAACTATAAGGTCTACACCTGAGGGGAGAAATCACATACTGTCCAAAAATTAATAATGATGTAAGGAAATAAATTAATTTTAAAAATATGAGGGAATGATAACTGTCAAATGAGGGGCCATGAAGACTCCTGGAAGGGAGGCAGTGGCCCGATGTGGGAGGGGCCTAGGCAGGTTTGGGGGGGTTACCAGTGATATGCTGGTTCTCACATTGAGTGAGGTGTTGGGTTCATTTTACTGTTATTCTTTGTAACTAAAGGCGTAAAGACATCCAATTATTATGTAATAAAAATGGAAAAGTAGAGGAAAATGCCAGACCCGGCATGGGGAGAACCAGCTTTTGCAGACCAGGTCACGGAGATGAGGATGTCCACAGCGACGTGGTGCTGTCAGCAGAATTGGAGGGCAGCTAGAAACTGGGCCATCTTGGAGGTCGTGAGAACCTCCGAGAAGGAAGAGGGTCTTTAGAACCAGGTGCTTGTTTCTAAGAGCAGGCCAGGAGGATGTAGACTGGAAAACGTCTCATATTTGGTCACCTGGGGGTGACAGCCAGCAATTCTAGGAGAGTCATAGAGATAGAAGCCACCTTGCAGCTGGCTGCCGGCCAACAGAGACACGCGCTAGTTGGGGTGCAGGGTGAGAACAGCCCCTTCCTCAACCGGGCTGTCTAGAAAGAAGGGCAAGATGGCCCCTCATCAGGTCCTTTGTGGTCTGAGCACCCCACCCCCACTCTGTCCTTTCTTCCAGGAACAGCTGGCCAGCGGGGAACTCGACTCCAGCTGAACAAGCTATTCTGGCCTGCAAGGTCGTGACTCTCTGGCCCAGCCAGCGCTCCTGGGGGAGGGAAGGCCCTCCTCTGCTGCTCTTACCCTGGAAATCTGAACCCTGGGCACACAGACGGAGGAGGAAGCCATAAGGTAAGGTGTTGAGGTGCTTGAGAGGGACTCTGGGCTCTGGGCCTGCCTGTAGGGTCTTTCCCAAACCAGGGCCCTCCTTCCCTACTCCCTGGGCAGCTGGGTGCCTGGGAACCCTGGCTGTGTTCTCTGTGAGGACAGGCAGACTCGGCTCCTGTCTCCCCAGACCTGGTGGCCTTCATTATCTCAGTCGCCTCAGCACAAGGGGCCTGGCTCTCTCCCAGCTGAGAGAAGGCTGCCAGGCCTGCCGCCCTCCCTTTGTTTGTTTTGGGAGGGGCAATTGCTGAGCAAACAGGGAGTGAAATCCTGGGTTCTGCCTCTTCACCACTTGTCAGCCGTTACCCAGGCCTCAGGCCTCTGGGCACACTCAGGCCTGGTCCTTTCCTGGTCCTGCCTGCGGAAGGAAGCTGTGGTGACGGGTGTTTAGCAAACCCAGCACTTGGCATTGGTGCATGCTCAGAGAAAATACCCCCTAGTCCAGGGGCTGGGACACACGTTCATTGTGCACCTACTGTGTGCCAGTCCCTGTGCTCCTGGATGCTGCGAGCCACCACAGGATGTTGGTACAAGACTGTCCGGTTTCCAGAAGGGGAATCTGAGACTGGGATTATGAAGGGGGTGTTGGTAGAAGTAGGAATCCCTCCCAGACTTCTCTGTCCCCTGCAGTACGCTCTGAACCTCCATGTCTCTCAGTGGAGTGGCGAAGGAAGGTGGTGAGGGGCAGGCCTTGGTTGGGGTACGCTCTTCACCTCTCTTTTTTCTCTCCCAGAGACCACGCTGTTGTCCAAGACCCCCAGCCCAGCAAGCAGCAGCCTCCCCATGGCTGATCTACTGCCCCTGTTGCCTTGGGCGCCTCCCTTGGCTCAGGAGGGTGCTCAGGACTCGCCTGTGCCCCCAGCCCAGTGGCAGAACCAGCAGCTGCAGGGTGGTGGGGCTGAGGGCCTGGTTCCTGAGCCCTGGAGGCTCCTGGAAGTGCCCTCTATTCACATAACGCCATCCAGTGATGGGGAGTCACCCCCTTGCACCCCAACTCCCCGGCGCTTGCAGCGACTGAGGACCTCCGACCTGGAGAGCTCATCCTGGGACAGGTCAGATCTGGGGGGCGGGATGGGAAAGGAAGGGGTTCTCTGTCAGGACTCAGGCTTGAGGGTGGGTTCCCTGTGGCTGTCATTGTCCAGGTGGGGGAAGGAGAGTTAGCGCAGAGGCTGAGCCCCAGGGGCGCTTGCTGGGAGCTGCTCATAGAGCCTGGAGGTGGACACTCCCTTCCATCTGCTCAGTGTTTTTCAAACTGGGGGGCATGCCCCACTTAAGGGCCATGATTCCAATGCATTGCAATCAGCACTTTTGCTCCCCACGCAGTAAAAGGATAGAGCTGGCAGTAACTGTGTATGAGACACAGGAAGTAAGTGTGGTTTCTGCACCATTTGCGACATTGCATGTATGTCCACGTGTGAACTGGGAGCCAGTGTGAAAGGTATTTCCTGTTGCAGCTCACGGGCAAAAAAAAATTAAACTGCAAAGAAACACTCCTTCTGGCACAAGGAGACAGGAACTGGGAGGTTCAAGGCTCCGGGGAAAAGAGGAAAGAACTCCACTGGCCCTGAATAGAAATATCCACTGTGGCTTCTGCCAACAATGGACCCTCCCTGAGAGCTAAAGTTTATGAAGCCCAGCGCTGTGAGCATGGAGAAACCTCAGAAACAATGAGGGCCAAAGCAAGTTGCAAAATGATACAGTAAGAGCCTAAGTCTGTTATCTTTTCTAAAAGATCTGGGACAATGGGCTGTATGGATGGATGCGTCCTGATACAGAGAGGGGAAGAATACACGGGGGCTTCAGGCACTGTAGTGAGTACCTTGGGGATAGAGACAAGAGGAACGAGGGCCTTTAGCTGTCACCGTAATCTTTTCTTTCTTTCTTTCTTTTTTTTAAAGATTTATTTATTTATTTATACAAGCACTGGGTACAGTTAGAAGCGCGGGAGGGTGAGAGAATTCTCCAGAGCCAGAGCGGGGAGCAGAGCAGTCAGACTGACGAAATACACTGCTGAGGGGAGCAGCGGGCGGCAGGAGAGGTCTGCGCGCCATGTGGGACTCTCGCTGGTGGCCGGGATTGAACTGGCGCTGCAGAGGCTGTGGGCAGCTTCGCAGCCCAGCGCTCAACCGTTGTGCCACCAGGGGAGGCCTTCTTTCTTTCTTTTTTTTTTTTTACAATTTAAATCTTTTTTTTTTTAAAGATTAATCCATTTATGTACACAAGAGCTGGGGTACAGGCCAGAGGCTTGGGGGGGTGGTGTGTGTGAGAGGATTCACCAGAGACAGAATGGGGAACAGAACAGACAGATTGTCTGAAATACACTGCTGAGGGGAGCAACAGGAGAGGTCTGTTGCACCATGTGGGTAGCTCCCTGGCCGGCCGGGGATCGAACTCATGCTGCAGTGGCCGTGGATAGCTTCATAGGTAGCATTTCAACCCCTCCCCACCAGGGAGACCCCATAATCTTTTATTTCTTAAAAAAAAAAAAAGAATATGAAGTAAAAATGGTAAAATGTCCATGTCTGCTATATATGGGGGCGGGGATACAGAGGACTGTTACAATTTCTTGTTTGAAATAAGTATTCCCTAATTAAAAGTTTTAATATATTTCAAAAATAGAAAGATAGAACTAGAGAAAAGCGAGGCAGAGGGAGATGGAAGAGGCGGGTGTTTCTGAGATCCTCAGCCACAGGAATAAGTAGGGGGATTGAGGATAGAACTTCCTTGCAGTGGGAATAGCAAGTGCAAAGGCCTGGGGCAGGAATGTACCTGGTGAGTTAGAAAATCAGGAGAGTTTGTGTGTGTGTGTGTGTGTGTGTGTGTGTGTGTGTGTTAGAGGAAGTGAGCCAAGGGGAGATGCAGAAGGAAAGTGAGAGTGAGGCCTTGGGCACCAAGGTGGGGACTTTGCTTTATTTTATTTTATTTATTTTATTTATTTATATTTAAAGAACAGGTTTATTAGAGAAAGAGGCAGAAGAATAAAGGACGCTTGCATAGACACAAGCTATACACTTTGCTTTTATAGTTGGTTTGAGGTGCCTCCTGGGGAGGGCTCTGAGCCAGGAGGTTTCAGAGTCCTCCTGGCCACTGTGGGGAGCAGGTTATGTGTGTCGGGGGAGGTTGCTGGAGTAGGGAGCAGGGAGACCAAGAAGGAGGCGGTTGTGATGTCCAGGAGGGCTAGATGGAGCTTGGATCCTCTTGGGTGGGACAGTGGAGGGAAGAAGAGTTTAGATTCTGGATAGATTTTGTGGGTCGAGCCCCACAAAATGAGGGCACAAGGGACAGAGAAGGGTTAGGAAAGACAGAAGTTTTAGGCCTTCCATTCACCAAAATTCATCAAAATGGAGAAATCCAGTGGAGTTTTTTTTGAGGGGGGTGGGGAGTAGAGGATGGGAGGGTCCTGGCGAGGGGTGGATGGTGGTCCCTGAGCAGGGCGCCTGTGCCCAGGAGCTGGGGTACACCTCACATTTCTGTGGTGGGGGCAGACTCTGATGCTGGCTATGGCATCAGAGACCTGTGGTGCCCAGGTCTGCAGCCTTCTGCCCGGTGACCTGGAGAGCTCAGGGCCATCCTTGAGGCTGGCTGCCCTGCTCCCCTGCTCCCCTGCTCCCCGCTCCTCCACAGGTAAGTGCTCACTACAGAGCTGTGGGGTTCTCAGGACTGTGGTGATTTCCCCAAGGCCACAGCAGATGCCTGCCCAGGAGTCTGAGTCCCAACCTGGTGTGGTGGGGGGCATGGGACTGCAAGGGGTCTCCCCAACATAGGGGGCTCAGGGACTGGGAGGGGGAGGTGGTGGCCCAGGGGCCCGCGCCCCTTAACCAAGTCCTCAGTTCACACGAGCCCCACATCTCTCTCCCCAGCCTCCATCCCACCCCAGTTACAGCTCCTCCCCGTAACGCTCGCTCTCTCCCCCCCCTTTCCTCCCCCTGCACCCCCAAGTCCCTCAGTCTCTGACTGCCCCGTCTCTGAGTCCTTTGAGCCTCAGTCTGTCCCCGCAGCCCCTCCCAGGTCGTGCCCCCCCCACCTCCCCGGAGCAGCCCCCCAGAAGCCGCCTCCCGCCCCCCACTGTCGGCCTCCGCAGCCGCCCGGAGCCCGCCTCCCTCTAGGCCTCCCGGCCGGCCGGTCCCTCCCGCGGCTTCCCGGCGGGTTGGGGGGCGGCGCCGTGACGCGGCGGGGCGGGGGCGGGGGTTGCGCTGACGCGCCGCGGCCTCCGGCGGCTGCGGCCTTTGTGCGGGCGGCGGGGCGGGCGCGGGCGCGGGCGCGGGCGCGGCGGGGGCCGAAGACGGCGAGGCGGGTGCCCGGCGGGGACCGCCAGCTCAGCCCAGCCCCGCTCGGCCGGGCCCGGCCCTGCCCGGCGTCTGGGCGCGCCCGCCGCGCCGCATCCATGTTCGAGTAAGGACCGGGCGGCGGCGGGCGGGGGCGCGGGGCGCGCGTCGGGGCACGCGGGCTCGGCGCGGGGGGCGCGGCGGGCGCCGGGGCGGGGAGCTGTGCTCTTGGGGCGGCAGGGGCCGCCGGGGGGCCGGGGCCGGGGCGCCCTCCGGGCTGAGCGCGGCTCGCGGGGACGCCCCCTGCAGGACGGGCCCGGGCGGCGAAGGGCCCGCCGGGGGGCGGGGACGGGGTCGGGGCCCGCGTGCACCGCGGCCTGCGGGGAGGGACCCCGGCCTGGAGGCGCGGGCGGGCTGCGGGGCGGCCCCGGGGCGCCGGGCCTGGGCTGGAGGCCGCGGGAGGAGACCAGCCCCGCCGGCGCCTCGCAGGCCGCGGAGCCCGGGGCGCGCCCACCCGCAGCCCCTCCGGGCCGCCCTGTGTGTGCCCGCGAATTTCAGGGCGTCCTGGGGGGCCGGGGGCTTCTGCGGACTCTGTGCCCGGGGGAGGGCGCGGAATGGACGCCTCCTGCGTGTCCGGGCGGGCTCGCCGGCGCCTTCTCCATTGTGAATTGTGGGTGTCTTGGGGCGTCTGCGTGTCAGTGGTCCAGTGTGCAGGGGCTTCCAGCCCCCTTTGGGGTGTGTGTGTGTGTGTCTTAGTCTTATCCCGAATTCCATCTGTGGCTCCATGCGCTCCTGTAACTTCCCTGTGTCTGTTGTGAATGCCGGGCGTGCCTGGCGCTGGTGGTGTGTGGCTGCTGGGAGCTCTGCTTGTGTGTGTGGACCCCGTCTCACCCTGCCTGGGGCTGTGTGTGAATATAAACGACCTGTGTGTGTCTGACTGTTCCTTCCGCGTGTGTGCTTGTGTCTAGTGTGCAACAGCTGTGATCCTCTCGATTCCAGCTGTCACTCTGTCCCTGTACGTGACCTGCGCCTGCAGTTGTGACTTGGTGGTGTGTGTACACGTGTCCGGCTGTGTATACCTGCAGTTTAGCTCAGCACCGCTGTTCGCTCTGTGTGCAAACGTCAGTTGCCTGTATGTGTCCACTGTTGGATGTCTCGGGCTTCTGTGTGTGCAGCGGGACCTCTGGGGCTTTGTGTGTGTGAAGAAGCAGAGAGAGAGAGCGAGAGAGAGAGCGAGAGAGCGAGAGAGCGAGAGAGCGAGAGAGAGCGAGAGAGAGAGAGAGAGAGAGAGAGAGAGAGAGAGAGAGAGAGAGAGAACGCAAGGGCCCTGTGGCTCTCTGTGGGCCTGAGACCCTCCTCCTCCCTGAGATCTTGGGTGTACTCTTGACTTGGAGCTGACATGGCTCCCCCTTTGCAGTTAGAAGGTGTGTGCCACACATGGTTCCGGTGCCTGATCACTTTTTTCCGGGTGCCCGCAACCCCGGGGGCTGTTCCTCTACGCCTGTGTCGTGGCAGGGCTTGTTCACCCCCACTGGCTGGCACCTGTCCCGACCACTTTACCGCAGGCGTTTGCTTTGTCTTCCGCCAGATGGTGAAGGCCACGAGAGCAGAGCTGACCCCTGTGACTTAATTTCCCTTGGCTGTGTGTGTGTTCGCTGGGGTCTCCTGTGGCTGTTTTGTCACTCCGTGGCTCTCTAACACGGGGTCTGTTCCTTGCTGACACCTCCCCTCGGAGACTTTGAGTGTGGCCAGTGTGAATGTCATTTTGCTAGGACTTTCGGTGGGTTTTCTGGGTTCCTGTGGCCTCCTGCAGCCTCTCTTGTGCCGGTTTGCACACTTGCGTGTGTGTGCGTAACTGGGACCGTTTGTGTGACTGTGTCACTTGTACTGCTCTGGGTGAGTGTGAGTGCAGTTACGCTGGAGCTGTGTGGCCCTTTGTGTGGCTGTCATATACCTGTGGTTACAGCCATGTGTCAGTGTGTGTGTGAGAGGAAATGGATAGAGGCTTCTTGCAAATATGGGGAAATACAATTTGCTGGTGACACTGTCTGCGTGTGACAAGTTTCCTGTTTATGCACCCCTGTCTGTACACCTACCCTTCCCGTTAGGCTCAGGAAGCTGGAGGTGGGGTATCTACGATGGCAAAACCCCATTCTTTTCCGGATACCTACCCCCTGTGATGGTCCTCCCTTCCCTTGGATTAGGCGGCCTCAGGCCTGTGCCCGCCCTTGAGTGCTTCCTCTTTGTCCTGACAGAGAGCAAGAACTGGGGTGCGGGACTTGCCTGGTATGGGTGTGGGATCTTGGTGAAGTACCCTGCCTCGAGACCTGCAGGTGCAGAGAACAGGGCAAGAAGATGAGATGGGGGGATGGGGTCACCCCGTACTGCAGAACCCTTCCTAGCTTGTCAGTGCCCTAAGTGAGCCCACACTCTGGCCCAGCCCCCCAGGCCTGGGGTGGGCTTGTGCTTCCTGTTAGCCTTCCTTAGCCCTGCAAGCTTAGTCCAGACTGAACTCACTGTTCCTGCACCAAACACCCCCACCACATACACACACACCACCCTCACCCTCTGCCAGATCTGTCCTTTGTCCTTGGGCTCAGCTCATGTGCCCTGCTTGCCACCCAGTCCCCCAGCCCATCTTTATCTCTGTGGTCCTCAAATTTGAACATGCATCACAGTCTGCTGGCCCTCCTCCCAGTTTTGTAATCAGGAGGGTTCCAGGATCTGCATTTCTGACAACCTCCAAGTGCTGGTTTAGAACACCAGCCAGGCCTGAGCGCACTGTCCTCCCTGGCAGGGCTTGTTCTGGGTTGTCTGGTTCCCCAACCGGGACACCAGGCCCTGGGCAGGGTATGTCTGTTTCACGCACTTCTGTGTCCCCAGTGCCCGGCGCTCAGTGTGTGCTTGGAGAATGGAGGACTGGAGTCTGGGGTCACTGTGGGCCCCAAATGCCAGGCACAGGTGTTGTCCGGTACCTGTTGGGCCCGAGATGCTCCAGGATGGTGATGGCTCCATTTTAGTCTGACGGCTCCTACTAATCAAAGTGGGCCCCCTTCTGCCGTGCTGGGATTTATGCTGGACCCTCAGCTTCTCTGTCAGAAGGCCCAGCGGGTGGATACTCTTGTTATTCCCATTATGCAAAAGAACTGAGGCACAGGAAGGCTAGACACTTGCCCAAGGTCATACAGGAGGAGGTGGCAGCTGTCTCAGCCCCTGAGCAGGTCTGTTCTAGGTTGAGGAGGAGGTGTAGCAGGGAACAAAACCTCCTGGGGGGGGGGAATAAGAAACGGGAAAATACCGACTCTCGGGTGGGGGGAGCACTGGGGAGGACAACCAGGAGGGGATCTGGTGGTGTAAGTAGGGAGGTGAGGGAAGGCATCTTGGAGGCGTGTCCATTGACCAGAGAGACCTGAAGGAGGTGAGGGAGGCTGAGGATTTCTGGGAGGAAGAGTGTTTGGGGCAGAGGGAACAGCCAAAGTAGAGCTGGAGGGAGTGGCCGGAGGGGCCTGCCTGGGCTTTTAGCTGGAGTGAGGTGCAGCCATGGAGGGCCCTGACCTGTGTGGGGAGCTGAGGGAGGAGGGAGCAGGCAGCTTCAGCTAGTCCAGGGGGTGTGGCATGGTCCCGAGTCATCTGTTTTATTTACTTGTTTGACTGCACAAATTCATTTTGCCATATGACTTGAATACCTTCCCTGGGCGCTGTCCTGAGCATCACTCGGGGACACAGCAGTGATGGAGACACACTGGGGCTTGTCACTGGGCACTCTCCATCCACGGGGGTTGGGGGGTGGGGGTGGGAGTTGGGGGGAGGGGGCTGTCATCAGACAGCTGCGGCCCAGAGCCGTCAGGGCTGGAAGGGGAAGCAGAGGTAGAGGGTGAGGATGGGCTGTAGCTGCAGGCTGTGGGGACCCACAGAAGGGAGGCATGGCTGGGTGGGAGGGGACCTGCAAGTGTGCAAGCGAGCGTCCTGGAGGAGGCATAGAAATGCACTAGGGAAGGGAGGGAAAAGATGACTGAGAAAGAGGGAACAGCATGTGCTAAAGCTTGAAGGCATGAGAGAAGTTTGAGAGCCCCTCCAGCTTGTGGGAGCCCACCCACCCAGAACAAACCAGGTCCCCTGCCCATCCTGAGTTGAAGCGTCCACGCCTCCTCGCAGGCGCGGGGTGCTGCTCTGCACCTGCGAGTCCTCCTCGGCCCGTGGAGTGGACGGCGCGCATGCGCAGGGCTGTTTGCGGAGTAACCGGGTGGATGCTGGGCTCGGCTGCCGGACTTTCCTGATTCAGAGTCAACAGTGACCTTTTGAAGTTCCCGACGCTTTGCCCACGGCCCTTTACAATGTGCACATGGTCCTTTGTGCGTTTCTTGTTCAGTGTGGCCGCCCCGCGGGTAGGCTGACCCCCAGCAGGAGCAGATCTGGGGTGTCTGCCGCCCCACTGCAGCAGCGTGGGTTATCCCGTGGCCAGCAGCGTGGACTGAGCGCACACGCAGGCCAGGCACCTCTGTGGGTGCCGAGACGCACGGCAGCCGAGCCCCCCTGAGCCCACAGTGGCAAGCTGGACAAGCAGACAGGGTGGGCCGGGGTAGCTCAGGGCTGGGTCAGCAGAGAGGAGGAGCCTGGGAGCCTGGAATGTGACAGGACTTCCCGACAGAGGCCGTGAGGCGTGAATGCAGAGGTGACCTGTAGGGCCCAAGGAGGCCCGGGTGGCGGAGCGGCAGGCACAGGGGAGGGCACAAGGTCTGAGAGGCGACAGGGGCCATTGGAGGGCTCTGGGTGCCAAGGTGAGCACTTTGCTGCCAGTGGGGGAGGGCTCATCAGGACAGCCTGCCCTGACTCAGGGTCACGGGCCCAGAGTGGGGAGCAGGGCTTCAGGGAGGCCGCTACTGCTGTGGACAGGGGTGAGGCTGTCCGGCGCTGCACCAGGGGGCCAGGGCTCAAGGAATGATCTTGGAGGTGGAGCAGGCGGGACTTGCCAATGGTAGGAAGCAAGAGGTGACGAAAAGGATGAAGGAAATGGTCAGGTTTTGAGCTCAAGCAACCGAGGGGCAAGTAGCCGCTCAATAAACAGTTATTGTCTGAATGAATTGCTCATTTTAAAAACAGCAGGCGCTCTGAGTGTGCGCAGCTCTGTGAGGCTTGCTCCGTGGTATTGATCCTTTTAACCCTCCCACCCCCGGGTGAGGGTCCGCCCATGTCGCCTCTGGTAACAGGTGATGTCCTGAGGCTCCAGTGTTAGGGCGCCTGCTCTGCGTCAACCTGTGAGGTAGTGGAGAAGGCTAGGTGGGGTAATGGGCTGATGGGTGGGCCTCCCAGAACAGGTTGTCCCCACTTGGCCTGCCTTCCCCATAACCAGCACCCCTCTCTCCCCCCCCAGCACCACGCCCCACTCTGGCCGGAGCACACCAAGCAGCTCCCCATCTCTCCGCAAGCGGCTGCAGCTCTTGCCCCCCAGCCGCCCGCCGCCTGAACCGGAACCGGGCACCATGGTGGAGAAGGGGTCAGATAACTCCTCAGAAAAAGGTGGGGTGCCCGGGACCCCCAGCACCCAGAGCCTGGGCAGCCGGAACTTCATCCGCAACAGCAAGGTTGGTGCAAGCCCTGGTGGGGAGAGGGGCGGGAGGCCTGAGGGTCTGGGGTCTTGTCTGACTCCACTCCTTTCTCTTGCAGAAGATGCAGAGCTGGTACAGCGTAAGTGTCTGGGCAGAGGGGCTCGCTGGGGGGCGGAGGGGGTGGACAGGTGCTGCGGTCTGCAGACCCAGGGTCACATCCTGTGCTGTGTGACCTTGAGTGAGTCGCTCAGCCTCTCTGGGCCTTTCCTTACACAACTGAAGGGAACATTCCCAAGGAGTCAGTGATGCTGGTGGGCACTTGTGCAGGGCCTGCCAGGGTAGGACTCAGGAAACGGCAGCTCTTGGCTGGATCCTGCCATGTTGTGGGTAGTGGAGGCTGGAAGTGCAACCTCAGAGAACCCCCCTGGGCTGAAGAGACTGAGGGACATCTGGGAGCTCTGTGGGGCAGAATTCGGGGTGCAAACCCCCACCCAGGTTCTCACCTCCCAAACACATCCCCAGATGCTGAGCCCCACATACAAACAGCGCAACGAGGACTTCCGGAAACTGTTCAGCAAACTCCCCGAAGCCGAACGCCTCATCGTGGGTGAGTGCTCGCCCCAGCCCGGCCCGCTGGCCTTGAGCTCCGGCCAGGCCAGCTGGTGACCGCTGTCTGCCGTCTCTCCCGCCGCCTCAGATTACTCCTGTGCCTTGCAGCGCGAGATCCTCCTCCAGGGCCGCCTCTATCTCTCCGAGAACTGGATCTGCTTCTACAGCAACATCTTCCGCTGGGAGACGACCGTGAGCTGGAGGGGGTGAGGAAGGGCTGGGGTGGCAGGGCCTGGGCCCTCCTGACCTGCCTTTTGTCCTCAGATTTCCATCCAGTTGAAGGAAGTGACGTGTCTGAAGAAGGAAAAGACAGCCAAGCTGATCCCCAACGCCATCCAGATCTGCACAGAGAGCGAGAAGGTGGGTGTGAGGAGGAAGCCGGGCTGTCCGCCTCCCTTCTCTGGTCTTGCGGCCCCTGCCTGGCCCAGGCTCCCCTCGCCTCTGACCTGGGCCCCCACAGCTTGCAGTCTGGCTCCTGACACAGATGCTCAGGGGTAGTATTAATAGTAAAAGTCTTCCCTCCCACGGACCTATCATCTCGGGAGCCCTGTCTCCTTGGAAACCTTCCCTGACACCCCATTCTTGTCCTCGTGATTGTCACATCATGGTCCCAAGATGGCTGCCTCACGTTAGTGGCCCTGACAGGAGGGGAGTAGGAAATGTTAGGAGAGGGCTTCACCGCAGGCTTCCTCTGTGCTTGGTTGGTCCAAAGGACACCACCCCTAACAGGCCAAGGAGACTGGGAGGGCGCCTGTGTGCTCTGCCCACCCTGACCACTGTGGGCGGACTCCGCGCAGGGGTGCACCTGTGTCCCACACTGGACTGTGAACTCTGGGCCCCTCCAGGGCCCGGGCCAGCTCCTCATCATGGTCCCCCGCCATCCAGCGCAGGGCTGGACAGGATAGGCCTTGTGCCGTGAGTGAAGTGATGAACAAAAGCCTGTGTGAGGATGGAGATTCAGGGGTGCAGTGTGGACGGCGCTGGAGCTCCCCTGCCCTCCATCCCCTGACACCCCTCTCTCCTACAGCATTTCTTCACCTCCTTTGGGGCCCGGGACCGCTGCTTCCTCCTCATCTTCCGCCTTTGGCAGAACGCACTGCTGGAAAAGGTAGGACTGGATGAGGCCTGGTCAGGAGGGTGGGGGACCGTGTTGCCAGGGGTGCCAGAACTTGGGGACATGGAGTACTCTGGCCCGTTGTACCTCAGCTTCTTTCCTGGGCTCCACATGGGGGCTGCACGGCTCCGGGGCAGGCCCCGCCCGAAGTAAGCGTGTATACACAGGCCCCTCCCCATTGTCTGCTCGTTGAAAATGCCCTGAAAATGAGGCGGGGTTTTTGTGTGTGTGGCAGCAGAACCTGACCAGGCAGAGATGCTCTTGGGGGTCTCTGCACTGTCGGACGGAACTTTCTGCTATGAGGGACATAGCTTCCATCTTTGGTTCCGATATGGTAGCCGCTGACCACAGGCCTATTAAGGACCTGAAAAGGGACTAGTGGGACAAGATCTGCCTTTTAAATTCAATTTCATTTGTATTATTTTAAATGGAAACGGCACGTATGCTTGTATAATACAGGTCTCCAGCTCTCAATGTGCCTGTGTTTCAGGACAAAAAAACTTAGATATCCTTGTAAGCCAATATGAAGTTATAATCTAGAACATATGGGTGACTCTCAAATGTCACCGTTTCAGGAACCTTTCACCCTCTGAAATAATTTGCAAGCGCCAAAGAGCTTTTGTCTGAGTGCGTTATGTTTTCCAATATTTGCTATCTTAGAGATTGAAGCTGGGAAAATTTCAAACACAAGAATACACGAGCACATTCCATTAAGCAGAACAGCGACTGCATTACTGTCACGGAGTCTCTGGAAAACTCCACTGTACACTGTGAAAACAAGGTCACACCACTAGTCATATGTTTTTTTAAAGATTTATTTATTTATGCACACAAGAACTGGGTACAGGCCAGAGGTGCGGGGAGTGAGAGGATTCACCAGAGACAGAGTGGGGAACAGAACAGGCAGACTGACTGAAATGCACTGCTGAGGGGAGCAGCGGGTGAGTCAGCCGCGCCCTGTGGGTAGCTCCCTGGCCAGGGATTGAACTCGTGCTGCTATTGGCCGCGGGTTGTCTCATAGGCTGCGTCTCAACCCCTTGAGCTACCATGGAGCTACCACTAGTAATATTTTTCAAACGCATGCAATGATTTGACCTCATGGACCCCCAAAAGGATATAGGGACCTCCAGATATCCTTGCACCAGACTTTGTTCATACTCTGCACCAGATACTAAAGAGAATCTCGTTCTCATTGGCATCACAGCAGACAGCATGGGCGCTGTATTATCTTTCTTCAATCCCATTTGCTCTTCTTTTAAATCTCAGGTAGGAATCCATAAACTTCTTCATTTTAAACCATGCCCTACCGGGGATCTAAGAGAAGACCGGTGGGATTCAAGAAAGAGAATACAGTGCCCATACTGTCTGCTGTGATGCCAGTAATAACTAGATTCTATGCAGTATCTTTGAGACTCTTAGCACAATCTCATCGACTTTCCGCATCGGCCCTGCTTGGGCCCTCCCGGAATATCCATTTGGGTTGAGTTTATAGGGATGCATTTGGCTGCAAGTAGTGGTGACCCCAAGCAAGTAGTGGTAACCCAGCATTCAGAATTATTGCATAAGGAAGGAATAGTGGCTAACATTTATAGTGCCCCAGGGTGCCAGGCACGGTTCTGAGCATCCCTGAATGATCTTGTATGATGCTGACGAGGCAGTCTGGTTCTTTTTTCCACCAAGGAGCCGTGGAAGGAAAGACTTCCACATGACCATGGGCTTTTATGTGGCAGAGCTGGGTCTGCCCCATTGCAGTCAGGTTCTGGAGCCCACTGGGCCGCTGGCACACACTGATACACATATAACCAGAGGTCCTGGGTGGGTTTGAGGGTCTCCCTGGTTCATCGAGGACCCATGCTCTTGTCCACCCCTCTGCACATTGGTGTTTTGTCCACCTGCTGGTGGCCGCCTGGTTGCTAGATGGCGGCTGTAGACCCAGGTATCCTGCCCACGCATAGGTATATCCCGAACTTGAAGGAGGAAAGAAAGCAGGCATTCCTCTATCAGGGAGGGAGACGCTTTAATAAACTCCTCTTTGCATTTCTACATTGAGAACTGGGTCACGTGATCACCCTTGGTTACAAGGGCAGCTGGGTATGTGGCAAAGGAAAAATGAATCAGTGTAAACCAGTGTAAACCATCCCTCGGGTTGGGGAAGGTTTTTACCCTAAACAAACCAGGGTTCTGTTGGTGGGAGATGCTGGTGGGGGGGGACAGAGGTTGGGCGGGTGTTACACAGTGTCTGCTGGCCTTGAGCGCCTCAGAAGACCAAAGCCTGCTCCTCCAGGGCCGCCCTGTCCCCCTGGGGCCCCTCCTGCAGTGGCCATCCTCAGCGTGGTGCGGGAGCCTGAGGGTGGGACAGTGCAGCTGGGGTCTCCAAGGAGGGGGTGACAGGGGAGAGTCCAAAGCTGAGTGCTGGGGCTGGACTGCCAGCACCACCTCTGAGGAGCTGAGGGGCCTGGGGTGAGTCACTGAACCCCATGGGTCAGGTGGAGACCACCCTCACTTCATAGCGCCCAGAACTGGGCTTAGTATAAGAGCTCACATGGGCCTCCCCGGTGGCGCAGCAGTTGAGCGCTGGGTTGCGAAGCTGCCCGCAGCCTCTGCAGCGCTGGTTCGATCCCCGGCTGCTCCCCGGCCTCCGGAGGAGGGTCCCACATGGCGCGCAGACCTCTCCTGCCGCCCGCTGCTCCCCGCAGCAGTGTACTTCGGTCCTTCTGCCTGCTCTGCTCCCCGCTCTGGCTCTGGTGAATTCTCTCACCCTCCTGTGCTTCCGACTGTACCCAGTGCTTGTATAAATAAATAAAAATAAATCTTTAAAAAAAAAGAATAAGAGCTCAGGAATGCTAGTGCTTAGCAGCAGGGCAGTGCAGTGGTTAGCACCAGGGACTTGACCAGCCCCACCTTAGCTCTGGCCCTTCCTGACCAGGAACCTTGGGCAGGCCCCCACCCTTCTGGGCCTCAGTATCATTGTCTTAAAATGGTGAGGACGTTTACAGAATTGCTTGGGTGCCTGGGTGCCTTGCGCAGAGGGGCGGAGGGGTGCCTGGCCCCTTAGTGGGTGGCAGTGGCTGCTCTTCCCAGTGCTCTTACTACCATTGGAACTATTGCAATGTCCTCTGCCAGCCGCTCTGACTGTCGGTAGCAGAAAACTCAGGGCTGCTGAGGGTTTGCATCCCAGTTCCCTCTGGTCACCTGTGTCCCTCCCTGGGCCTCCTAATCTCTGTGCAAATGGAAACATTTGCCCTTACCTGGGGCGGGGGTGGGGGGAGCGCAGTGTCCTGAGCTTTGGGTGAAGTCTGAGGGCACCTGGCCAGACCAGGGTGGAGACTGTGATGCCCTCTAGTGGACGCCGGGGGCCCTGCTGAGACAGGGCTGGTGGGGACAGGGCCTGGGCAGGAAGGGCTTGGCCCCTGTGGCATGGAGTTAACCCCAAGTCCTGCCTGCCCAGACGCTGAGTCCCCGCGAGCTCTGGCACCTGGTGCATCAGTGCTACGGCTCAGAGCTGGGCCTCACCAGCGAGGACGAGGACTATGTCTGCCCCTTGCAGCTGAACGGCCTGGGGTGAGTTGGAGGTTGACGGCTGGTGCTTGGGGCTGGGGTAGATGTGAGGGGCCGTTTGCTAAGCTGCTGGAGTCCTGGGTGGACTGAGGTGGGTGTCAAAGTCCGGGAGACCAGGAGAGCCTGTATCTTGCAGGGCTACAGGGGTTGGGCTTTCTCCCTTTCTCACAGGACCCCCAAGGAAGTGGGCGATGTGATTGCCCTGAGTGACATCGCCCCCCCGGGAGCAACTGACCGCAGCCAGGAGCCCAGTCCCGTGGGGTCACGTCGTGGCCGCATCACCCCCAACCTTTCAAGGGCCAGCAGCGATGCAGACCATGGGGTGAGCTGGAGAGGGGATGAGCCGGAAGGGTCCTGATGGGAAGAGACAGAGGGAGGTGGGCTGGTGTCAGGAGATGGAGAGGTTGACAGATGGGGGGCAGGGGAGCCAAGGGGGAGAGGGACCGAGAAGGGGTGGGGTGGGGGAGGTAGGAGGTAGCGATAAGGGGTGGGGATGGAAAGGTGGGCCAGGAAAATAGCGTCAGGTAGGGGAAGAAACAGGCAAAGAGGGGGACAAATGGGTGAGAGGAGAGGCAAGAGACGACCGGATTGGTGCATGGGTGCATGGGTGGGAGATGACAGGCATGGACAGGACTGACAGATGGACAGGACAGGCACAAGAGAGGTTGTGGGCCAGGCACCTGAGACACAGCCTGGTAGGGCCTGAGAGGAAGCCGGACCTGCGTGGGCTCAGGGCCCCCTGGGGCTCAGCATTGCTCACGGGAGCCCCCGGCATTGGTTTTCTAGCCTCAAATCCTGTGGCAGTGTGGCCCGGGGACCCCAGGCTGGGAGGGGGTGTGGTGGGGCAAAGCTGGACTGAGCTGCTTGCTGCAGGCAGAGGAGGACAAAGAGGAGCAGACAGACAGCCAGCCGGACGCCTCCTCCAGCCAGACAGTGACCCCAGTGGCTGAACCCCCGAGCTCAGAGCCCACCCCGTCGGACGGGCCCGCCTCCCTGGGCCCCTTGGACCTGCTGCCCAGCGAAGAGCTGCTGACGGACACGAGTAATTCCTCCTCGTCCACCGGGGAGGAAGGTGAGTCAGGGCGGGGCTGCTTGGTGGGCTTCGGCAGGGGCCTTGGCTGGCACAGGACGAAAATACTCAAGGCAGGCGGGCCGGGGTGGGGCCCAGTGGTGCTGCTGGAAATCTGCGCGCCTCCCGCTCTACTCCGGACCCCGAAGCCGAGCTGCCGGGGTTCAGATCCTGCCACGCTGTGTCACTTGGGAAAGTTACTTAATCTCCCGAGCCTCATCTGGTCAGCAAGAATAATACGCCTCCTTGGGCCGTCACAGAGGCGAGATGAGTTTATATATGTATGGTGCTTGGTCCGTTAGTCAGTGTTAGCTGTTTTCCTTATCTCCCCCCGCCCCTTCCCATTTCTTCATTCTCAGGTGGCTTCAATTTTTTTTAAAGATTTGTTTTTCTTTATTTATGCATACAAGAATTGGGGTGTGGGCCAGAGGTGCTGGGGGTGAGAGGATTCACGAGAGACAGAGTGGGGAGCAGAACAGGCAGACTGACGAAATACACTGCTGAGGGCTGTAGCGGGCGAGACAGGAGAGGTCTGCTGTGCCATGTGGGTAGCTCCCTGGTGGGGGATCAAACTGGTGCTGCAGTGGCTGCAGATGGCTTCATAGTGCTGAGCCTCCTTGTGCTATCAGGGAGGACCGGCTTCAATTTTTGTTGCGATAGTTCCAGCCCTTCTCCCTGCCCCCAACCCAGCCAACTCTAGGGTCGGCTCTGACTGGTCCTGTTTGGAGAACGAGCCCCCTTGAGCCAGTCACTGCTGCTGAGTGGCCGGGCCTGGGTCACACACCCCTCTGAACCTGTCAGCGTCCACGCCTACCTGGGAGATGTGCCTGGCCATGCACCCTAAGGCCCGGGAGTGGGGAGAGCGGTTGCCCGGCGGTGCATCCAGGGGCTGCCCTGGGGAGGAGAGGTGCGGGCGGCCACCCACTGCCCTCTGTCTTCCAGCTGACCTGGCTGCCCTGCTTCCCGACCTCTCTGGCCGGCTCCTCATCAACTCCGTCTTCCACGTGGGCGCCGAGCGGCTCCAGCAGATGCTGTTCTCCGACTCACCCTTCCTGCAGGGCTTCCTGCAGCAGTGCAAGTTCACAGGTCGGGAGCAGAGGTCACCAGTGCAAGGGAGGTGGGCGATGGGGAGGGGGGAGCCAGTTGGGTGCTGATGAGGTATGGGGGTTCAGTGCAGCCCCAGGAGGGAGCCCAGAGTGCTGAGCCTCTCAGCGGCTATGCATCTCTGCTCTGGTTTCTTCCTCCATTAAGTGGGGGTGTCATAAGAGTTCCTACTTTATCAGGGCCTCATGCGGACTAAATGAGTTAGTGCCAGAGAAGCACTTAGAACACCGGCATTTAGTAAAGGTGAGGTAGTGATCACACTCTGAGCACCCACTCTGTCAGGCCAGTGCAAAGGCCGGGACAGGTGGGCTCCAGAGTCCAGTGAGGACGGGAAGTGGCCACACATCAGTAGCACACAGCACAGGAGCGTTGTGAGTTAAGGGGTGGAGGACCCTGAATGTCAGAGGGGAGGCTGGAATGAGGGGTGTCAGGAAGGATGTGAAATGGAAACAGACAGCCCTGGGGAGCCACAGAGTGTTCGAGGCAGCTGCAGGACAGGGTCAGACTTGGCTTTAAGAAGATAGCCCCGAACCAGGGGTAGAGACAGGCCAGTTGCCCAGGGGAGGCTAGAGAGTAGCAGGCGAGGATGGGCTCACACAGGGCTGTGCCTAGGTGCCCCCTGTGAGCAGATGGGGAGGGGCGCAGCCCACCCAAAAGGGTGAGTCTGCTACAGCCTGTGAGCAAGGCTCCGGGGGCTGGTCTCCCTACTCTGCCCTTCTCACCCCCAGACGTCACATTGAGCCCCTGGAGTGGGGACAGCAAGTGCCACCAGCGCCGCGTGCTCACCTACACCATTCCCATCAGCAACCCGCTGGGCCCCAAGAGCGCCTCCGTGGTGGAGACACAGGTAGGCCCGGTGGGTTGGGCAGCTGGGTGGCCGGGGTGGCCGGGACAGCCCTGACTGCCCCCTCCTGTCCCACAGACGCTCTTCCGACGGGGCCCGCAGGCAGGCGGGTGTGTGGTGGACTCCGAGGTGCTGACGCAGGGCATCCCCTACCAGGACTACTTCTACACCGCCCACCGCTACTGCATCCTGGGCCTGGCCCGCAACAAGGCCCGGCTCCGGTGAGCAGCCCCCCGGCCCTCCACTGGACGCTCTGGGGGCCCCAGACCCTGCCCCACACTCCGCTTCCAACACCCCACTCTCCCCACCGTGTCGGTGGCCCCCAGCAGAGGAGACGCGTGGGTTGTGGCAGCTTGGGGCGGCCTGAGTGGTTTGGCCTAAGCCGCTGGAAGGACAGAGCTGCTGTTGTTCTGCTTGGGGAAGGTGGGGGCAGTAGGTTTGGGGGCAATCAGGAGCTCAGTCTGGGATGTGTTAAGCTGTCGCCCCAGCCACAGGCGAAGGGGTGCAGGTCTGCTTGGGGGAGGCATGGGCTCGAGTGGCCGTGCTAGGATCAGGTGTGGGCAGACACGCCCCTGTGCAGTGGGGGCGAGTCAGGAGGCGAGTGGGGTTCCCAGGGAAGCCGTAGGGGGCATTTCTTGTCTGTGGGTGACCAGGGGCCCTGCCCGCATGGGGGGAGGTAAGCGCCCCTGGGAGCGTGGGGCAGCAAGGCTGGGTCAGGCCTCACCCCCGCACGTTGCCCCGCCCCAGGGTGTCCTCGGAGATCCGCTACCGGAAGCAGCCCTGGAGCCTGGTGAAGTCGCTCATCGAGAAGAACTCGTGGAGTGGCATCGAGGACTACTTCCACCACCTGGGTAGGCCGAGCCCGGCCCGCGGGCAGGGGGGCCGGTTGCGGGCAGGCGTGCAGAGCCCTCTGTGTCCACAGAGCGGGAGCTCGCCAAGGCCGAGAAGCTGTCTCTGGAGGAAGGCGGGAAGGAGGCCCGGGGGCTGCTGTCAGGCCTGCGGAGGCGGAAGCGGCCCCTGAGCTGGCGGGGCCACGGGGACGGACCCCAGCACCCGGACCCCGACCCCTGCGCCCGGGCCGGCCTGCACACCTCAGGTGCGCCCCCTGGGACCTGGTGGGGTGGGCCGAGGAGCCTGGTGGGCTGGGCCGGGCGGGGCTGGGCTAAGGTAGCTGACTCGAGTCACGTCCCCACAGGTTCCCTCAGCTCCCGATTTGCAGAACCGTCTGTGGACCAGAGCCCTGGGGCGGGCATCCCGGGCGCCCTGGTCCTCATCAGCATCGTGTGAGTAAGGGCGCTGGGCGTGGGGTCACACAGGCCGGGAGCTGCGTGCTGGCTGTGTGACCTTGGGCAAGCGCTTAGCCTCTCTGGGCCTCTGCTTAAGTGGGAGCGTGGACTCACCTCCTAGCAAGGGTAGAGGAGCCGATGTTGGGAGGTGCCGGTGGGGTTCCTCAAGGCACACGGCTCAGGAGAAGCCTTCCCTTTGGGAGAGCAGGGGCCTTCCATGGTGGTCGCCTGGGGAGCTTCTGGAGCTCAGAGGAGGCAGGGAGGGCTTTCTGGAGGAGTAGGCTCCCAAAGGCTGTGGAATTAGATGAACCAGGAGAGGCAGACAATGAAGTTGTGCCATTTATACATTTCACTGTGGCCAGCCATATGCTGGGCGATGGCGGGGGACCACGGTAGTGACTAACTCCCCTGGGGGCAGGCAGACCTGACCCCAGACCCGAGTGAAGGGCAACACAGGCCGGCAGGGCAGGGCCTGGATGAGGAGGCACAGGCAGAGGGGACAGGGATGGGAGCAGGGAAACTTTGGGAAACCGGTAAGAGCAGAGCCCTCCCGAGCTGGGGCCCCATAGGGCTCAGGTGTGAGACGCACAGTGGCCGAGGTGCTAGAGGCACAACACCCGAAATGAGATCTGTGCTTCTGCAGACCCTGGGGGGTGAGGGTCACACCCCCAAGCGCTGAGCCTCCCTGGGCCTTAGCCCCCAGCGACAGCAGTGCAGGGGAGGGTGTGACGTTTTCTGCTTGGAGCTGCGGGGGGTCAAGGAGGGCGGGGGCCTGGGCCGGGCTGGATGGCACTCATGTCTTTGTCTCTCCTCCCTGCCTCCTCAGGATCTGTGTGAGGTAGGGTTCTGCATCCTACGCCTCCCCTCGCCTCCTGGGGTCTCTCCCCCAGCTGCAGTTCCTTCTCCCCACTCCCTGCCCCTGGCTGGCCCAGGGCAGTGGCCAGCGTGGGGGTTGAGGCAGAGGTGTCAGACAGGCCTGGGCGCCCAGGCATGCCTCTTACCCTCTCTGAGCCTTAGTTTCCCCCTCTGGAAAGGGGGGTAATCATGGTGCCCCTTCAAGGTGGGTGCAAACGTGTGGGAGCGTCCAGGTCCTAGACATCTGACCTCTGCTCCCTGACTTCTGCCCATCGCCCCCAGCCTCATCGTCCTCATCGCCCTCAACATCCTCCTCTTTTACCGCCTCTGGTCGCTGGAGAGGACGGCCCACACTTTCGAGTCCTGGCACAGTCTGGCCCTGGCCAAGGGGTGAGTGGTGGCATGAGGGGGTTGGAAGCTTGGGGCGTTCAGGGGAGGCCCAGGCTCCACTCAGGCCCTGCCTCCCCTACAGCAAGTTCCCCCAGACGGCCACAGAATGGGCAGAGATCCTGGCCCTGCAGAAACAGTTCCACAGCGTGGAGGTGCACAAGTGGCGGCAGATCCTGCGGGCGTCCGTGGAGCTTCTGGACGAGGTATGGTTGCCAGGCCCTGTCTCATCCCAACTTGCAGCAGATACATCTGGGTCTCCATTTCCCCCTCTGTAAAATGAGGAGGACATAATCTTCCTCCCGGGGTTGCTAGAAAAATCAGTGGGGTAGAAGAAAATGTCTTGGCTATCATTCTGGGGAACAAAAGAACCCAGTGGTATCTGACAGCTTCAGGCATGGCTGGATCCAGCTGCTCAGCAGTAGTAAGAATTGGTCTCTAATGTTATGTTCACTCTGCACCCCTTAGCACTAGACTTGTTTTAGGGGCATTCTCTGCCCCAGCAAAAGCAAGGGGGTACCTGAAACTCTAGGCTGACATCCAAAGCAAAGAACTCATTCTCACTGGTGGCTGGGGTCACATGCCTGAACCGGTCACTGTGGCCAGGGTAGGCAAGGCTTGGTTCTTGTATCCCTCTCTCCTTTGGAGTGGTGAAGGGGTGACGTGGTCTAAGGGTAGAGAAGAGGTTCTTCAAAGGATATTGGGGTCTCTTCTCCAGAAGAGGGTTGCCCCACATCCCCCCTGTAGTTCATGTGCAGCATCTCTTTAGAGGATTTGAGTTCTGGTGAGTGACCCTGTGCTGACCTTGACTTCCTCCTCTGAGACTGCAGTAATGATTGGTGTTACCTCAAAGACTATCGTGAGGATTGAGTTGACATTTGAAGAGCGCCAGGCTCTTAAACACCTTATATGTGTTTGCCGTTACTAATGTGAGTGTGGGGTCAAGCACATAGTAGGTGCTCAACAAACAGGCCACCCTCACAAGGTGGTGGGTGGGTCAGTAAAGAGACCAGGTGCTGGGTAAATGCTCATTCAGGGAGGGCGTGTGGGAAGCTGGCAGGAGGGGGTTCTGGCTTCAGCTGGTTCCCAAGGGTCTCAGAATTCAGGGTGTGGGTGATGGAAGTTGTGTCTGGTCACTGCATCACTGTGCCACCTTTTGAGGCCTGTTGTGCTCTGAAATCATGCTGAGAAGGAGGTGCTCACTCTGGGAAGGGTGGAGGGGATGATGCCAGAACCTCGTTGCTCCCTGTCCCGAGTTGGATCCGGGAGATTGTCCTTGCTGTCCGGTGGCCACGGCTGCTGAGCTGACTTGGCGAATCAGTGCCCACGGCAGACGGAGCCAGGCGGGTCTAAATGCTAAACCACGAATAGGTTTGTCCCTCATAGTCAGCCTATGAGGGGGTGCTCTAATTACACCCCCACCTGATGGGCACCTGGGTCGGAGAAGGTCAGACATCCCCAAGGCCCACAACAGGGAGTAAGGGCAGCCAAAGTGCTTCCCGTCTGCTGGGGCCTAGGTTTGCCCTCAGGTACCTGAAAATCCTGCCAAGCAGGCTTGTCACTGACCCATCTTTCAGCTGAGGGTAGTTAGGGACTTGCCCCAGGTTACCCTGCGGGGGCAGGACTGACCCCAGGCCTCCGGGCGCCCCTCCCCCGCTACCTGTGTGAAGATGAACTGGCTGCAGGTGGCTCTGCTCCTGTCACAGGGTGACCTGAGCAAGTGGTGTGACCTCTCCCAGTTTCTCGGCCCCCCAGCACTCATCCTGCCCTGCCCACCTCTCCCTGCAGATGAAGTTCTCGCTCGAGAAGCTGCATCAAGGCATCGCTGTCTCAGACCCTCCCTTTGACTCCCAGCCACGACCCGACGACAGCTTCTCCTGAGGACGCCTGGCCACACAGCCGTCCCCCCAGATGGACACAGAGCCTCGGCGGCCACTGCTGGCACGGTGTGAGCGCCGGGAGGCCCTGACACCCCTCGCAGGGGCCCTCGTGGGGCCACGCAGACATGGGGACCACAGAACTAGATGCACTTTAGACCAGCGTGCGCCAGTCCAGCTGCCATTGTCTGCCCTGCCAGGGAGCTGGCCTGGCCATCAGCAGGCCCCGCTAACTTATTTTGCCCAGCTAGGGCTGTGGGGGGGGTGCCTCCCGGGGTGCACGATTCCCTCAGCTTGGGATTTAATGTATTATATTTATTTGGGGAATAGAAAACCCCAATAAAAATTCGGAATAACTGGCTGTGCCTGCAGGGCCCGGAGAGCGGGTGGGGTCCTTGGCAGGCAGGGGGCTCTGTCCCTTTTCTGGGGCTGTGGCACTGAGGCAGCTGGAGCTCCCCAGCACTCTCCACAAGCCTCAGATCAGCAGGCAGGGTCTGGTGGGGGCCTCTGAGGGCTCATCCTTCCCCAGATATTTTGCAGTCATATGCTTGGTTACCACTCTGAACTCCAGTTTCCTCTTCTCTACAGCGGGGGCAAGAGTAGCACCTGCTTCCCCGGGTTGTTAAAAAGAGTCATTCTCAAACTTTAGCTGCATCAGGAGCACCCAGGTGTCCCAGGCCCCGTGTCGAGACCTGGGTTCATTTAATCCTCCCAGCGTCTCCGGGAGATGGAAGCAGAGATGCCGAGGCCGGTGGGCTCCTGGTGTGTCTGCGTTTCTACGCAAGGTCCTCACCTCTTCGGGCCCCCAGCAGGCCTTTCCGTGTGCAGGCCATCTGTAGCCTTGAGTTTCAGGTGAGGGCACGGGCTTAGGGGCACATCCTTCCGCCCCTGGTAGAACCCAGACCTGCCTCACTCAACCCCGTGTGAGTGAGGGGTGGAGAGAGACCTTTGAGATATCACAGCCCGGCTGTGAGAATCTTCATTGATGAATTACCCACCTCCAGCCTCAGTCTTCCATGCCTGTAAAATGGGCATGGCCATAACACGCACATGAGTTCACATGGATCGTGGGCTCTTAACAGCGCCAGGTGCTCAGCGAACATCAGCTTGTAGGCCTGTCAGTATCTGCTCCTGCCCAGTGCCCGGTGCCTGTCCTCGGTGCCCCCATCTGCCACCCTGGCCAGAGGGGGGGTGGGGGGGTGGCTTGCAACTGCAAGAAGGTTATTTTCTGCAGGGGAATTTCACAGCCCAGAGGTGCTGGCACAGAGACCCGGACCACAAAGGTGTCCGGTGTCCCTGCTTCCTGTCCCTCTGGCCCCGACCAGCCTCACATCCTGGTGCCTCTTGCCTGGAAGCGCTGGCCCGTGGGGATTCTGGGACTTCACCCAGAACTGGTGGCTTGGATCTGAGCAGGGACCCCCAGCCAAAAGGCCCACTCCTACACTGGTGCTGACAGCCCCCAACCCCCCCCCCCACACTAGCCTCCCACCCCCACCTCTCCATGTGGCAGGATTCCAGGCCCACCGCAGGCCAGCTACAGACCCCAGGCGCAGAGTGACTGGCCCAACCTGTTTCCTCTTCTCTAAAATGGGGATAATAATAGAAGTTGCTGCAAATGTTTGGGGAGCAGGAAGTGGGGTCAGCTTAGCGAAGGGAGAATGGGCTTTTTTTTTTTTTAATGATTGAATAGCTACACGGTGCCAGGTGTAGTTCAAGGTGCTGGAGACAGAGGTGCACAGGCCTGTGTGCACCAGGGGAGCTTATATTCCAGGGTTGGGGGGACGGGCAGTGGATGAAGAAACTATATAAAGGAAGAGTCTATAACGTCAGGTAGTGGCAACTGCTATGGGAAAAAAAAAAAAACCCAACTGAGTAAAGGAGGCCAACGAAGGGGGCGGGGTGCTGGACATCATTTCCTTGAATGGACAGACCCGATGAAGGTGACATTGGAGCCAAGAGCTGCTGGAGGTGAGGGAGTCAACCCCTTTGGTCACCTGGGGGAAGAATGGTCCAGACTGAACAGCCAGGCCAAGGTCCTGGGCCAGGAAAAAGCCTGATGACACTGGGAACAGCGGGGGGCCTGGATTGCCAGGGTGGAGAGGGGAGGAGTGGACCATGACATCTGAGACAAAGAGGAGAGAGGGGTCACGAAGGGGCCACCTCCTAAAATGCATCCCCAACCGCACAGTGCAACCTCTGGGGTTTGGAGCCAGGGCGCAGGGTGGGGTCTGGAGTATTAGGGACAGCCCTAGCCCTCACCCCATGCCCACCTGCCTTTCAGCACAGTGACCTCCAGGCCTGCGATGCCAGGGATCCGCGGGGCGGTCACCTGGGCGTCCCAGCCAAGTGTCCCGGGTCCCCTGAGGATGACCTCCACCACCTGGAGTCGGAAGTCCTGCCCCCAAGCCGCCCTCTTAAGTCCTCTGGTGACTCGGGGGGTGACCTTTTGCAGACGCCGACGGTCCCCAGACTCGAGCGGCGAGGGACGCCCGGCCCATCCGCCCCCGGCCCGGAGCCGCGGTCCCTGCGCCACCGGGAGAGGCCGGCGCGGCGGGCGCCTCCCGGGCCGCTGCGGCAAAGGCTGGGCGGCCGCGCCCTCCCCCCGCGGTGATTCATCCCGCCCCCTCCCGCTCCCTCCTCCCGCCCGGCGGCCGCCGCAGCAGTGCGCAGGAGACCGCGGCCCGCGCCAGCGCCGAGCGGAGCCGGGCCGGGGTCGGGGCACCTGGCGGATGCGCCCGGCGGCGCGCGCCCGCGGAGCAGCCCCAGCAGCGGCCGCCGCCCGCGCGGCGGGGATGCCCGGACGCCGGGCCCCGGGGCTGGGCCCCCGGCGGTAACCGGAGCGGGGGGGCCGCGCCCCCCCTCCGCCCCCCCTCGCCGGTCCCAGAGCCGCAGCTGCTGCGCCCGCGCGCTCCCGGGGACATTCTACCCGCCGCCGGGGCCCGCCGCCGCTCGCCCCGCTCTTAATACCGGCGGCCGGGAGGGGGCGCAGCGCGCCGGCGGCCATGGGGACGCTGCTGGCCTTCGTGGTCGGCGCGGCACTGGGTGAGTGCGCGGGGGGCGCGCGGCGGGGGCGCCCCGGGGCACTGGCCGGGCGCCGGGGTTCGCGCTCCGGTGCCGGGACGGCCGGGCCGCGGCCGCCCCGGGCCCACCCCCGGCCCGGCCAAGTCCGCTTCCGAAGTTGCGCGCGGGGCGCGGCGCGGGGCCGGGCAGGGCGGCGGCGGCGCGGGTGGCCGGGGCGGGCGGGGGCCCGGCTGGCGCGGCTCCGCGGCTGCGGGCGCCCGGCCGGGGGCGAGGAAGCGCGGAGTCAGCTGCTCCCGGAGCCCCGCAGGCTGCAATGTGACACCCACAGCCGCGGGAGGGGGTGGGGGAAGGCGGCGCGCGGCGCCGGGGCCGGGAGCCCGGGAGAGCCGGAGACCCGAGGGAAGGGGCGAGGGACGCCGGGGCGCCCCGTGCTCCCGAGTGCTCCCCGGGAGGTGGCCGTCCAGGGGGAGGCAGGGGCGCGCCAGAGCCAGGGAGAGAGGCCCGAGGAGTTCCCGGCCCGAGCGGTGGGGAGGGAGAAACTTGAGAGACCGAGGGGCGCAGGGCGGCGCGGGCGAGGTGAGTTTACCAAGGGCCGGGGGAGGTGGGCAGGGACCCGCGGACGGCGGAGATAATGGCGCGGGGACCGGGAACCGGCTCTGGAGAGGGACAGAGACAGCAGGGGACGCCCAGCCTTCCAGACCAGGAGGGAGGCGCAGACACGAGGGAGCCCCAGAGCCGGAGCTAGGGCAGCGCGTCGGCCGGTGAGCGGTGAGCGCCCGGGCAGGAGGGGGGAGGCAGGCAAGAATGTGGAGGAGGGACCCAAAGGGACTGAAATCCAGTGGGGGTGCCAAGGCCCTGAGGCGGGAAAGGTGAGTTTGGGGTGCTGGTAGGAGGTAGGATCAAGCAGGAGCCGAGGGCCAGGGCGTGGAGACAAGTTGGGGAGGGGGTGATGACACAGGAACTTGTGGGACTGGGGAGCAGAGCTGGAGTGGGGCTCCAGCCCCCACCTTCCCCCTCTGAGATCTGGCCTTCCCCCCCACTCCTCCTGTGGCTGGCGGAGCAAGGAAGTGGGAATGGCTGCTCCCTTGAACTTCCCCTGCCTCTGGGGTCCTCGCCCCACGCTTAGATGTGTGTCGCTTGGGCAAGTGACCCAAGAAAGGGTGTTGGGGGGACAAAGACACTGGGTTGCTGATGACACTGATACCCTATGATTTGGGGCCTCCTGGGGGTCCAGCCCCCTCCTGGGGCCTGGCATAACTTAGAAAAGTTAAGGAAACTGAGGCTCCGCGTGACCGCCGAGGGGGGGCCGCAAGGGCCAGGGCCAGGCAGGGATCCCCTTTTGCCCATTTGTGATCACGATCTAGGGGAAGCAGATGGCTTCTGGGGAGCCGACCGCCAGCAGGCCTGGCACCGCCTGGGGCGACGGGTGCCCCTGCCGGGGCTGAGCCTGCCGTCCCCACAGTGTCCTCCGCCTGGGGAGGCTGCGTGGAGGTGGACTCGGACACCGAGGCCGTGTACGGCATGACCTTCAAAATCCTGTGCATCTCCTGCAAGCGCCGCAGCGAGACCACCGCCGAGACCTTCACCGAGTGGACCTTCCGCCAGAAGGGCACGGAGGAGTTCGTCAAGGTGAGGGGGTGCCTGGCAGGGGTCCCCAGGGGGTGTGTTTGTCTGTAATAATGTGCCGCTCTCCGTGACCTGGATTCAAATTCCAGCTCCCCCCTGACCAGCCGGAGGCTGGGGCCGGTCACTGAGCCTCTCTGAGCCTCAGTTTCCTCCTCTGTAAAGATGGGGTGGCGATGGTCCCCCGTTCGTAGGCTTGTTCGAGGCTTGACTGAGCTGAGGCACCTGGCACGTGGCTGGCACAGCATAAATGTCATTGGAATTGTTTCATGCCAACAGAAATGCCTCGGGTGGCCATCAGGGAGAAGCCAGCTCCTCCTTTGTAGGGGGGGTGCTTGCATAGGAGGGGACACCGCCCACTTTCAGGGTCCGCTGGAGAACTGAGGTCTCAGGCTATCTCTGTCCTTCCACGAGGAGCGTGTCTGGGGCCAGAGAGGAATTGCAGAGAATGGGGGCCAGGAGGCGTGAATGTGTGTGTGTGTGTGTGTGTGTGAGTGTGTGAGGCCCAGGCGTGATCCCAGCCCCTCTGTGTCCTCCCTGCCTGAGGTCGGGGTACCCTAGCCCGTATGTGTCCCTCTATCCTTCTGCGTGTCCCGGCGAGGGACAGAGCAGGGGTGCAGGTGCGGCAGGGGGCCTGGGTGCTGAGCCCGGCTGCTGCCCCCAGATCCTGCGCTATGAGAACGAGGTGCTACAGCTGGAGGAAGACGAGCGCTTCGAGGGCCGCGTGGTGTGGAATGGCAGTCGGGGCACCAAGGACCTGCAGGACCTCTCCATCTTCATCACCAATGTCACCTACAACCACTCGGGCGACTATGAGTGTCACGTCTACCGCCTGCTCTTCTTCGAGAACTACGAGCACAACACCAGCGTCGTCAAAAAGATCCACCTGGAGGTGGTAGACAAAGGTGAGCCAGGTCTTGCCTGCCCCCCTATTCCTGAGCCCGCTGGTGGCCAGATGGAGGGACAGGTGGCAGAGAGGGGACGGGCTGGCTCCACGCCCGGGCCAGCCAGCGCCCACGGCGGCAGGGCGAGCAGCACCTCTTACCCTTAGTCCAGCCCTGGCTGCCATTTTCCCTCCACCCATGGGGAGGTCCCAGCAGGCCTCTCCCCATGAAGTTAGGGGTGCAAAACCCAGCTTTGCCAGCTGTGCTGTGTGTCCTCTGGCAGGTGCCTTTCTGTCTCTGGGCCGAAGGGTTGTCCTGTAGGGAACAGGATAATCCCAGCAGCTACTCGCAGGCTGGTGTTTGAGCCACGGCTGCCTCGTGGGGAGGTTGCGTGGATGGAGCCGCAGGCTGGGTGTCAGCCTGGCTCAGGGGGCCTCCGTATGTGGGGTGATGGGGTGTTCCGATGGTCGACTGTCTTGTCGCCCACCCGGCCCCCTCCGCATGGCCAGGGAAGGGGTATGAGTGTCACGCAGAGCCACAGCCCGCAGCCCCTGTGCACCTGAGCGGGGAGTCTGCCGAGTGCGCTCCAGACTCAGCAGGTGCGGTGGGCCGGGGTGGCGTTGCTCGCCAGCCTCCAGGAGAAGCCCGTGCTGGTCTGGGCCCGCTGAGCCATGGCACCTAAGGTGTTTTGAATCGTGTCATCCTTTTGGCGCTGGGGGCTTTGGATTCCTTGTCTTAGCCAACTTCAGAAACTTTCTAGGGCCTGACGGCACCTTGACTTAGATGGCCAGGGACAGGTCGCTGACCTTGGGCCAGCAAAAATCCAGGGCAAGCTCATCGCGGGGCCAGTGGCACGCTTATGCTGGGGGCTTCCTTCCCAGACCCAGCGGGGTAGGTGGGGGAGACGGCCCTGGCAGCCCCTAACCTGGTCCCACACAGAATCCTGCCACCTGGGGGAGGGGCTCCACTGTCCCCAGGTTACGGATGAGGAGGCCGAGGCCCAGGGGAGAGGTTCTGCGACACACACGTGGGACCTGGCTTTGGACCCCAGAATCCCGTGACTGCTGACTCTGTCCTTGCTGTGATTCGCGGTACTCTGTCGGCAGCCGAGCTGTGGGTTTCTTTTTATAATCAGCATCTTTACGTTTATTATCAAAGTGATCCAGCAGAATTCTGTGCGGAGACATGTGTGAGTGACTCTGGGGTACCCATCATGATGCTGGGGGGCGGCCATCAGCAGGCAGAGGATGGAACCCTGCCCCGGGGAGCGGGGGAGGTGGAGTTGCTGTAACAAAGACGCCCCCAAATACTGTGTCTTAGCAAAGTCTATGTGGATTCTCTCCCCCTAATCAGTGCCGAGGGGAGGGCTGGGGTGGGGCTGGCTCTGTGCTGCCATCAGCACCCAGGTTCTTTCCACCTTGTCGCTCCACCTCGAGCAGAACTCCCTCCCCCTCGCGGCGGAGCTGGCATCAGGCTCGCAGGGGACCCAGTGCACCCTCTCGTTTTAATATCACCTGCCACATTTTGTCCCCTTCCAGAGCCTGTGCTCCTCGCGGTATTTTCCAGAATACATGGTCCTTTATGTTTTCTGCCCAGAAAACATAAAGTTTGCAGACTCAGTTTCCAGCATGTTCTAAGTGTTCATCTACCACATTCCAATATTGCCTTTTAAACATTCATCACCGTGATAGAGCATTTTATATTATATACTAGACTTCTCACCATTACCAGCCATATGACAGTATGTGCTTCTAATGTTTCCCTGGAGTGCTTCTAGTGTTTTCCCCATGTTCTTATGCCTCTCTCCTTACCCACCATGCGAAGTAGTGTTTTATATATTGATATTATCAACCATATTTAGTGTTTTTAATTTTACTTGTTATATAGAATACTGTCCTTGTCACCTGTCATACTAAAGTATTTTTTTTTTAAGATTTATTTATTTATTTATACAAGCACTGGGTACAGTTAGAAGCACGGGAGGGTGAGAGAATTCACCAGAGCCAGAGCGGGGCGCAGAACAGGCAGACTGAGGAAATACACTGCTGAGGGGAGCAGTGGGCGTATCACGAGAGGTCTGCACGCCATGTGGGACCCTCACCGGTGGCCGGGGATCGAACCGGCGCTATAGAGGCTGCAGACAGCTTCGCAGCCCAGCACTCAACAGCTGCGCCACCAGGGGAGGCCCCTAAAGTATTTTTAACATTACTCATCACACCACAGCGCTGCGTCATTACCCGTGCTATTATTGGGTTATGGGCACTGCCCGCCATACCCTATTCTTTTTTATTATACGCCACTGTCTTCCTGCAATTTCCACATGCCCCATCCGTCTGTATTGCCTCTTGGTAATAAGCCCTAAGGGGTGAGCTGAGTCATTTCCAAAGGAGGGGTGCTGGTGCTGAGACTTTCACTGGCCCTGCAGAGGTGTACATGATAGTAGGAAGCTCCTGGGGTCCCCCTCGGGCATGGGGCTGCAGACGGGGATGAGCAGGCAGATTCTGTTTGGACCCAACGTGGATGGTGGGCATCTTGAGGGGCAGTGGAGTCTGAGGCGGGGCCTTCAGGGGGCTGCCTGTCTGGGCAGACAGGTGAAGGGTTCCCAGAGAAGGCACCTTTGAGCCACTGTGTGACCCCTCTATCTCCGTTCCTTATCTGTAAAGTGGGGTGACCACTGTCACAGAGTCTTCAGTGGCGGAAGCTTTACAGAGCAGATGGGCCTTGGGCCCCACGGCCAGGTTGTTCCACTTGGGGTTGAGTCCTGACGCTGAGTCCAGTCCTGTGCATCCCCTCTGTGCCTTGTCTGCAAAGGGGGTGTCAGCGCCACACCTGTGTTAATGTGGCTGGGACACAGGAGATGCCAGTTACCGGAACCCTCTTCCTGTGGCTCCCAGGAGCAGGGGCTGAGTATTGCAATCGCGTGCGCCTCATCCAACAAATATCCCACTGCAGTCAGCTGACCGGAAGCCGGGGCCGTCTCCATCCTTGGGGCTGCTTCAGAGAGTCAGGGAGATGCTTGGAGAAAGCACTTAGCGCCGAGCCTGCCTGGGCGCTGGCATTCAGTGCATGAGCTGCATCAGTGATGTCTCGAGAGTGAAGGAATGAATGAAGGATGAATGAGGGCTGCAACCCCGTCCCCAGCTCCTCCTGCAGGCCAGCAGGGACGGAGCTTCTGGCCCTGCACCCTCCTGCACTCTGGCCCAGAAAACATTGGTGCCATCTGCACCCGGTGAAAAACAGAAAGCGCCCACTCGGGGGAGGAAGCCACGTGAGGACGTGGGGGCGGGGGAGGAGTGTGATCCCGGCCAGCAGGAGGGGGGGGCCGGCATTCGAGGACACCCGCGAAATCCAGCCGAGGATGCCAGAACGGCCTTCGACGCTGGTCCCTGGCTGAGCTGGTCCCTGGCTGAAAGCGCTCCCTTTACAGTTTAAATTTAGGCCCGATGAAAGGCAGCTGCAGAAGGGCGAGTCTGCAGGAAGGATGGCAGTTTCCGCAGGGCACCAGCCCGATGCCAGCCCTTAGGCTGTGGGCCCGTGTGCGCATCGGGCACGTTACACAGGGAAACTCGGTCCTCTGGGGGCAGCGGTGTGAGAGGGCACAGGTGTTATCAGCGGGGACTCCAGGCTCAGAGAGGTGGAGACATTTGTCTAAGGTCACACAGCTAGCGAGAGGCAGAACCAAGCTGCGGCCTCTGAGGTCCGGCCCTTGAGCCCTCGCTCTTGATTTCTGTGATAATAGCAGCAAGAAGAGGGGGCCAGCGAGCAGGTGCTAAGTGCTGTTTACATACTAAGCCTAGTCCAGAGAGTCTCAGCACTTGTTTAGTCCTCACGCGCTCACGAAGGAGGTTCTGTGATGATCAGTCTTTAGTACCGGGGGAAGCTGAGACCAGAGAGGTCGAATCGCTTGCCCGAGAGCACACAGCTGGCAGGAGGCAGAGCCGAGATTTGAACCTGAGCTTTCTGCTTCCAGAGCTCCAGTCCTTGGGCACCTGCTGACAGAGATGCCCACGACTGCCCGAAGACACAGACGTCCCCTCTGTTTACACAGGGAGGCAGGTCGAGGGTGCTTCCGGGGCCCATCCAGGGCCACTTACTGAGACTCACAGTAACAGCAGTGACTGGAGGGAGGCAGCATGATCCTCCCAGCGGCAGCCCAGGCCCAGAGAGGTTGAGCCACTTGCCCAGGCTCACACAGCAGGCTGCGCCGCGCTGGGGCAGGCTGTGTGTGAGGCTGAGCTTGCTGCCGCCTAACCCTGCCTGGCTGTGCAGCCAACAGAGACATGGCGTCCATCGTGTCCGAGATCATGATGTACGTGCTCATCGTGGTGTTGACCATATGGCTCGTGGCGGAGATGGTCTACTGCTACAAGAAGATCGCCGCGGCCACGGAGGCTGCCGCGCAAGAGAACGCGTGAGTGTGGCTGGGGAGCGGGTGGGGCACCCCAGACTTTCCAGAGGGGAGTGTGAGCTGCTTGAGGAGGGATCGGTGCCGTTGGCCAGTCTCACCCGGCCCCCTCCTCCCTCAGATGCTCGACCCCCATTTCTCTCAGGACCCAGAGTTCAGGCCCAGCATCCTTTCCCCAAAGACCGAGGAGTCAGGCCTCCAGCCCTTGCCTCCCCCAGGCCCCGGAGTCTGCCCCTGGCCTCCTCCCTCACGCTCAGCACCACAGGCCGGGGCCTGGACTTCTGGCGGGCCCCTCACTGCCCAGGCCACAGCTCCTGCTCCCGCTAACTCTGCCTGGGCCGTAGCCCTCAACTCTCCTCAGTCCCCTGGGGGTGGGCCAGACTAATGACGGGGTCACTGTACACCTGGCCTTTGCCCCGCAGCTCGGAGTACCTGGCCATCACCTCAGAGAGCAAGGAGAACTGCACGGGCGTCCAGGTGGCCGAATAGCCCCGGTAAGGCGGGCGGGTGTGGGGGTGGCAGGGCTGGGAGGCCTGGGAGGGTGCCAGCCCACGCGGCCCCCATAACCCCTGTGTCTGCTTCACCTGTAGGCCCTGGGCTCCGTCTCTAGGAAGAGCCAGCCCTACTGGGGAACATCCGGGCACAGCCTGCCCCCAATGGGGGTTGGCCATCCCTGGGCCTCCACAAGCCTCAGAGTCCTGCCAACGGAGCCGCGGGGTGGGAGGGGGCAGGGGGCTTGGCTCACACTCCTAAACCAGCCCTCTTCCTCCTGCCCCATCACCCACCCACCGCCATGCATGATGGGTAAAGCAATACTGCCGCTGCCCCCACCCCTGCTTCTGCTGCCTGTTTGGAGGGGGGGACGGTGAGGTGGGGGCAGCGGCTCCGCACCCCTCCTTCTTGCTGATTTGCACACATTGGCCGCTTCAGACACGCACTACTGGGGCCCAGCCCCTCCCTGCCCCACCCCTGCCCTGCAGGGGTCGCTATGGGCGGGAACAGTGGGGCAGGGGGTTCTGGACCCCCTCGGATCCCTAGCGACATTTCCCCTCCTGCTTCCTCTGGCTGGACCTGGGGTCCCCTCCCCGCCATGCACTCTCGCCCCAGCCCGCCCTCTCTCACCAGCCTTGGATCGTGGCCACTTAGAAAGGGCCCGTTCAGCCTCGTCTCTCTTTACACAAGTAGTTTTGTTCATGAAATAAAGGTTCTTGGACTTGATTTGTAGTCTCTCGTGAGCCCAGTCACTCTGTACGACCCCCCCCAAATCCAAGAGCCTCAGTTTCCCCCCGGGTTTCTGCCCTCGCAGCAGGCAGCGGGGCTTTGCACACAGTCAGGGGTGGCGGGGAGTGGAGCTCAGCGCCTGCTGAGGCCCAGCAGGAGTGGAACTTGGTATTTGATTAGTTCTGGGTGGGGACCCATTAGCTCAGGGGCCTGCATGGGGGGGGGAGGGAGCCAGGCGGGAGTCTGGAGGCTGGGGTGGGGGTGCAAGGCAGAGAAGAGACTTTTGTGGGTTTGCTGTGTTCCCAGCAGGGTGGGCCTCTGGTGGGAGCTGGGGAGAGGGGGAGGCGAAGGGGATCTGAATGGGGAGAAGTAGGGAAAGCCGGCTGGGCAGTGCCAGGGGCTCTGTGAGCCGCCCTGCCGCAGCCTGCCCGGGGTGAGCACCCACGGGTGACTGTGCGGGGCGGTCCCCGGGCAGGTGTCTGCTGGTGACCCTGTGTGTTGGGTGTTTATCTGGTGTTGACGTGGAGTGCTCTTGGCCGCCCGGGGGGACAGCATGTCTCTGCCTTTGGACACTTCCGGCCACTTGGCCTCAGCACTCAGTGCTGCTTTCTGCGGGCCAAGCCCCCCATCCCCCCAGTCTGGGCCTTTCCCAGCTCCAGAGGTCATCGCGGGCAGCAGAGAGGCTGCCAAAGCAAACCAGCCCCCGTGACTTGTAGGAAAGCGGTTGGGGGGGAGGGGACTTGGGGGGAAGGGGCAAAGCAGGCTGGGGCTGGGGCAGATGTTGGGGCTGGGGCAGATGTTGGGGCTGGGGAGGCAGCAGAGGCTGGGGCTGGGTCAGAATGGGGGCCGAGGCCAGGTGGCTTCTTCAGGAACTGAAGAGGAGCAGGAAATGGCAGGGGCGGGGGTGGGCCTGGGGCTGGGCAGCGGTACTGGCAGGGCAGGGGTGGGCAGAGAGGGGGTTAGGCTGAGCTGGGGCAGGGCAGAGGCAGGGCTGGAGGCAGAAGTGACTGGGGCAGGGTGGCTTGGGGCCCCTGGGGCGCTCCGTGTGAGTCCTCTTGCCCTCAGTCCTTCCCAGCAGCCCTCAGCCTGCTCAGTCTCCCCCAGCCTGGCCCTCAGGCCAAACCTCCCCTCAAACTGGCACACCTGGGCCCCTCCAGCCCCGAGGCGGTGGGCAGGGCAGGTTGTGGCCTAGTCCGGCCCCTGCAAATCCAGCCCCACCAGCCAGGTGGCCTCCGGCGCTGCCAATCCCTTTGCCCGCCCCTCCCCGCCCCTTCCCCCGCCCCTGGCCCGGCCCCCTCCTCCTCAGGTGAGGCAACCCGGCCTAGCAGGCCCCACGCGCGCTGCCTCTGCTGCCGGCGCCCGCTGCTGCCGCGGGCCACCATGCTCCTGCCCCGGCCTGGAGACTGACCCTCCTCTGGCACCACCTCTCCGCTCCGCCCCAGCTGCCGGACCCCAGGGTAAGGACCTCAGTGCCAGCCTCTCAGCGTGGGTCCCCAGCCCCCCAGCCAACCTGGTGCCCACCTCCCAGTAGACAGGCTCTGGCGACCTCCAGAGCCAGCTCTCTCACTTGCCTCCAGGGGCTCGGCGCCCGGGCGCCCTCTCCTTCAGTCTCAGAGGCTGGGCTCCGGTCTCCCGACCCCTCAGACCCAGGGGTGCAGCCCCCTCTGCCCCTCCTCCCTCATACTAAGGAGTCCTGGCCCCCAAACCCCTCTTGCCCCAGTTTCCAGGAATTGAGGCCCCTCGCCCGCTCCAACCCACGAATTCGGACCCTCGGTCCCTCCAGGGCCCGGGCACGCGGCCCCAGTCCTGCGAATTCTCGCGGCCCCCTGGCCACCGGTCAGACGCTGACCCCATCCTTGAACCCAGCCCGACCTGCGTCCGTGATCACGGCGTGCTCTGGCCGGGGCCCAGTCCCTCCAGCCTCCCTGGATGGGCGCCGGGGACTGGGGGCACCGGGACTGGGCTGGGCTCCCCCAGGCCCTGCCTCCCCGTTCACCTCCCCACAGGTCCTGCCTGGCCCAGGAGGTCAGCCGGGAAATCATTAACAAGAGACTGTGACATGGCGGAGAAGGAGGGTGAGTCCCCCCCGTCCCTGAGCCCCGGCTTTGGCTCGGCCTGGCCTGTTTTGTTCCCAGCCCTCCACCCCCTGCGGTCCCCCTCGCCTGCGCCCCTCCTGGACCCATCCCCACCCCCTCCTGAGGACTCCTCCACCTGATTAACTATTAACCAATTTTTCTGTGGGGCTCTGCCACCACCAGCCTCCCTGCCACCCCATATCACCCTCCTAGGCCTTGCCTCAGTGTCCCCTCAGCCCCCAGCGACCTGTCCTCCACTGGGGGTGCGGGACACTAGCCCTCGAGGTTAAGGGCGCAGACTGGGGCCTGCACTTGAATCTGCCTCCTCCCCCCTTCTGCTGTGTGCTCTCGTGCGAGCGACAGTGTTTCTCTGGGCTTCCGTCTCCCCTGCAGTCGGGCGTGGAGCCCAGCACTGCCCACCCCTGTGAGGTCGCCGGGGGTGCAGGACGTACACAAGGCACCAGCAAGGGGCTCGGCTTGTGAGCCTCACTCCACGAGCCAGGGACGGGATGAGGGAGGTGGCCGACCTGGTGTCCCAGGGATCGAGACCCCCACCGAAGGCAGACATCCCTGCCACTTTCGCTGTGTGCGCACCAGAGCAGAGGGAGAACTTTGGACTCGGCCTAGATGGATGGAGAGGGAGAGGCGACAGAGGAGCCGCCCCAGGGTGAAACCACCCACCGAGGCCCTAGTGGCTGGCACGCCAGGCCCTTCGTGGCCCTGGATGGGGCTCCAGACAGCCTGGCTCCCTCTCAGCCTCTTCCACACCTGGGAGCCATCTGGAGGGGCCCAGTTAGAGGCGACCTTTCCTTCCTGCCTCCCCAGCTGGGACCAAAAACCTCTCTCCCTGCTGGAACCAGGCTAGCTGGGCTCAGTCCCAGGCGGCAGAACGTTCAGGCAGTGAGGATCCTGAGGAGCAGCTTGTCCTCTGGCCTTGCTTCTTCCTCTGCAAGTGGAGCTGGTACTAGCAGGCACCTCCCCGGCGGCGCGAGGGTACCGTTGCCTGATGGGTGGGGAGTGCTGAATGGATGGGCTGAAATGACTGGTGTGGGCCGCTGGCCTCCTGGGGTCTCAGCGCCAACGCCACTGTTCCGCTGTGGCTCGGCGTGAACTTGGGCTCTCAGTCACTCTGGACAAGGCGCCGCGCCCTGGCTGAGCAAGTGGACAGCAGGGCCTGCGCCTTCCGGATGGTCTCCCTCCTGGAGCCCCCGGGGGGAGTCTCCAGGGCTGAAGCCGCTGGAGGAATGAAGCATGGAGGGAAAGCAGAGCATGCCGGGAAGGCTGCCAGATGTGGTGGCCGAGGGAATAAAGCACCGTGGGCTCCAGTGCGGACCAGGCAGCTGGGGCTGGTCTTGGAAGGGAGCCCCACCAACCTGGACACAGATGCTGACAGGTGCTGGGTGTCCTGGAGCAGGTGGCTGCACCTCTCTGGGCCTCCTTTTTGTCTGTGGGCCAGGTTGTCCGGTAGGGGTGGTGGCGGCGACGATTCCTTCTCTCCTAAACAGCACGGGGGACCTACGGAGACTGCAGGTCAGGGCTAGGGCAGGCTGTGAGTCAGCTTTCGGCGGGGCGGTTTGCTGTTGAAGTGGGCCCAAGGCCAGGTGCTGGCTGCTCCCCGGGGACTTAGAGGTCGGGTGGCCATTCAAGGTGGGTGGCTGGGGTGTCCTGGCGGAGGGAAGAGCACAGCCAGATGCTGGATGTGACAAGCTGCTGGGGGTGCAGAGCGCCCCCTACTCCTGGTGTCTGGAAGCGAGGCTGGGTACGGAGCAGGGAGGGCGCTGAGGCGCACCCTGGGCTGGTAGGATTGCTTCTGGGCCTCGGCCACGCTGGGTCTCTCCACGAGATGGCGCTAGTGGGCACGTGCGTCTCCTCCAAGGCCTGTGATTTTGGTCAAGCTTTGGAAGCTCCATCGGGTGCTTGTACCCAAAAGGGGCTGAGGGCCTTAGCCTCTGTCGTGAGAGGCACCAGGGAGTCCTGGAAGGTTCTAGGTAAAGAAGGACAGGTGGGACTTGGTATTGAAGCAGATCCCCCAGGCGTCCATGTGAAGGCTGGACCTGGCTTGGAGGGCGCCGGGGGCAGGGAAGAAGTGGCCGGAGAACTTGGCCGGCTGGGGGGGCCTCTGAGGACCTGAGACTCGGGGACACACTGAGACCACTGTGGGCCCCGGGGCCTGAAGGAGAGCAACTGTCGGGCCTCAGGATCCCCACTCTGGGGCTGAGGAGAGGCAGGCCTAGGGGCATCCAATAGCACTGCGGCGGCTGAGGTGGCCGAGACAGACTTGGCAGTGGCAGGCGAGAGGCAGAGGAGGCCAGAGGCCGCCCTGTGGCGTGGGGAGAAGGTCAGGAGGCGGGAAAGGCGACGTCGGAGTGGAAGGAGAATCAGGTGCACGTGTCAGAATCCGGTGAGGGAGACTTTTGCTTGGAGTTGGAGCTGTGAAGACTGAGACATGGGCTGTCCTTGGGGCACTAGGAGAGACAGGGAGTCAAGGATGTCACCTGTGAGGGCGTTTGCAGTTGACCTGCGGGGGCGGCCTGGCAGCTGACCTGGAGGAGAGAGGGCCGGGGACAGGTGGGGCTGCCGCCTTCTCATTCCTGGGGCACCCCCTAGGGATCCTGGGGAAGAGCTCGCCTCTCACCCAGAGTGAGGACGCTTCTTGTCCCGCCCCTGGGGAACCCTCGCATCAGGGCCCCCAAAGCGAAGGCATCCTGCCCCACCAGGGGCACCCCCTTTGGCCTTGCCCGAGACCCCTGACTCAGAAGACAGATGTCCTGCCTCGTACCCGAGGACTCGGAGGCGCTGCTTCCTGTGGGGCACATCTGAAGGCAGGGGAGGGCCAGCCTGACCCGCAGGGAGCCGAGACCGCCCCCCGGAACCAGGAAGATGGCAAATTCTTAACACACCCAGACAATGGCCATCCAGGAA